CACAGGGAAACGACTGAAGGTTAATATATCGTGCTACTCACAGACTCAAGAGACGCAAAAACAAACGCCCCATAGAGAAAAGTCCACGGATAGCTCTACAACGTGCGAAGTGTGCAGAAGAGGATGAAAGGATATGTTGGCGTCGGTGGCCCTAAAGGTTCTTGGAGGTACTGGTGTGACGCGGGTTGCGGTGACACTGATTAGTCCTAAAACTTTTGCTGCTACTGCACCAGTCCGTGTACAATTATTATTCTGCTGAGGACACACAAATGTAACTTATTCACACCTCGTATGGAGCGGCGGCAAGTTCCCTCAGGCGCATTTTTTTTTTACGGGGCCTAGGGGGCGAAAATGTAGTAGTAATAATAATAATAATTCTTGGTAAAAAAATAATAAATAACCAAAAATAACAATAAAATAATAATGATAACAATAATAATAATAAAACAATGTAATAATAATAATAATAATAATAATAATAATAATAATAATAACAATAATAATAATAAAAGTGAGAAACAATATATATATATATATATATATATATATATATATATATATATATATATATATATATATATATATATATATATATATAGGCTATATATATATATATATGTTGTGTTGTCAATAGTAAGCGAAACAATTGAGACACTGAACTTGTGTGTAAACAAATGAGGCACGCCCAACGGTAAAGGGGGAAGTGAGTCGGTGATAGTGAGCGTGACTGAGTGATGTCTATAATATAAATATACAGGGTGTCCATAAATTATCTGATCCATTTAAAAAAATAATAACTTCAAAAACATTATCAATACAAAACGCATGTTTTATAATATAAGTAACGAAGAACTCAAGTCTTTGTCTTAGTAAACTTCCACATCGCTTTCTTAAAGTTTAAAATGGGTCAGACAATTCATGAACATTCAGTAGTTTCCATAATTCAATATACTCTACACCACAAAATACCATATTAGAGGTGAATTCAAGCACGTATGACTTAAATCTGTCTGTGACTGACTTCAAAAATTAGCTAAATCTAGAAGAGCTTGACACACACACACATACACAGTGACACGGCCAACACTGTGCCCCCGTTCAAACACTTAACCGTGAGAGATCTATGAATACCCTGCACTTGTTGAACTGAAGTTTATACAAGGAAGGGATGACATGCATAGAGGAGTTCCACTGAGTGATTGTTCCAAAGTTGAGGATTTTAAGAGTAATAGTGGGGGGGGGGTCAGACGGATGTTTGCGGGCAGTGTTTCAACATGGTGACTAGTTCAAAGAGGTGTGGAGCGCTGCTTTTATAATTAATTTTCATCAGTCATCAATGCACTGAATATTCAAGTTATCAGTGGATGTGGAATAAAGAGCGAATATTATGTATGTATGTGTATATGTATGTATGTAATAATAATAATAATTAACGGTTTATTGAAAAAGTTCTGCAGCCCGAAGGCTGAAAATATACATTGGACATAAATGACTTATTGCATACAATGGTGGTTTAACAAAAGCCTTCAATAGAGAAAGGTAAAGGAACATACAGTGAACATACAGATTAATGTAGGATTGTACGTGTTGAACAGCAAATACGAAGTGTAGTAACTCCCTCCCAGATGGTGTTAGGAGGGACCTCACGTGATGTAGTAGTTCCCTCAGATGGTGTTATGAGGGTCCTCACGTGGTGTAGTAATTCCCTCACAGATGGTGTTATGAGGGACCTGACGTGGTGTAGTAATTCCCTCACAGATGGTGTTATGAGGGACCTGACGTGGTGTAGTAATTCCCTCACAGATGGTGTTATGAGGGGGCCTCACGTGGTGTAGTAATTCCTTCACAGATGGTGTTATGAGGGGCTTCACGTGGTGTAGTAATTCCTTCACAGATGGTGTTATATGAGTGAGGTTTGGTCCCAGGCCTTCCTATCGTAGACGGATTAACACATCACTGGTTGTTGTTGGGTCTCACGGGCCGTTATCACTGGGTACCTGGGACCTCACTGTGTGAAGGTTAACTTGGGTACGACTGTTACTGTTGAGTTGTTCTCACTGACTTTAAGCACTGTTCACCACTGTTCACCTCTGTTTAACACTGGTTTCATTCCTTTCCTAAATGAAATTGTAACTTCTGGCGAGAACTTGTTGATATTCCGGTGGGGAGGCGGGTTCAGGGGAAGGGGTTGGTATGGGCCAACTTAACAGTTGACCTGGCTGCTCCGAGAGGAGCGCCAGGTACGTCTTGACCCTTCGGTGGTCAAGGATGTAGTATGTATGTATGTATGAGACTGCAACTGTAAATAAATGTCAACAAACGTAGTGTAAATGTGTGTGTAAGAGCGTGTGGAGTTGCGAAAGTATACATGAAATGTGAAGTAAGGTAAGTACGTACCATGTATGTATGTACTGTACGTGTACCTAATGCTCGTCAACGTACAGTACACGACATTATTATACAAGCATGCGTTGCTCCCTAATACCACAATCTATTTCCGTCCTGTGGCCTGACGTAAGTGAGTTAGGGCGGGTGCCAGAGAACCAGGTGACTGACATATTGCAAAAGTTCTAGTCCCGGTATTTATACAGGCGGGTCATGCTTTCCACGAACCATACCCCAGCAGCTTTATGTGTCTGTCCGATACTAACCAATATAGATCAGCAATTATGCGTATGTCCGATATTAACCAATAATAGCCTAGCAACTCTGTGTGTCTGTCCGATATTAAGGTGTTTTAAATAATACACCAGCCTTGCAACTGTTAAAAGACGGAAGAGGTGAGTAATTAGTTCAAGTGAAATTTATCGGCAGGGCCATAATCTACACAATAAAGATATATCTCACTTATTTTTTTATCGTTAGTAGCTACTACTTTATTCACTAATCTATTATACGTGCTTAAAGAACTTTAGTTGTTAAGGCGTAATAACACATTGTAACATCAACCTACACAAATGCGTAGTAGAGTAAGATGCTAACAGTAGAATGGTTGGAGTGGGTCAGATTATCTAAAAAGCGGATGCTGAACCAGAAAATGGAAATTATATTATGAATGTAATACTCGAGGGAGAGGAAACTGATAAGGCGGACTATGAAGTATAAAGTACGGACTACAGAAAACACATCAAGTAACATAGTAGTACGGCTGAGAGTAAAATAAAGAAACAGACTAAGAGAGTACGTGTGTGAGAACAATAATAGTAGTGCACGTAAAATCTATGGATAATTGTATTAGTCGCTATATGGAAGAACTTTCCTTACGATTCAAGCTATGTGTAACGGAAAAATACAGGATACAGATAGATCCCCATCCTCCGTAAACAGGAAACCTGAGGAACCGCCTGTCATATTATAAAACCGATACCAACCTTACAAAGTTGCTTTCCTATAACCTCAGAACCAGGTAAATATACCTACTTGTAGTTTCGTTACCTATTTCAGTGCCTAGTTTGCAGCATCATCACCTGTTCTCGATAAGTAGTGCAATAAGTGAAAGTGGGTCCCACAGGCTTGCCAGCCCGTTTAGGGCAGTGCGGATAAAGTACATTGAATCTATAATGATATACCTGCTGGTTAAATCCTAACCTTTTTTTGGTACACTTGGTATAATACACCTCAGTGAAGCCCCTCACCATGTCTTGTTAACAAAGATACAATGAGATTCCTGGTAGTAGGGTGCAGTGTATGAGGGGGAAGCCGTAGCCTAGCTGTTGATATCGATCTGTTTTAGTGGTACACGGGGGAGGGGTTGTCACCGAGTGTTTTTTGTTTTTTATTATTTACTAAACCAACAACCAAATGACATATCTGCAGCTTACTTAACAAACATGAAAAACATGATCATAAATGAGACAGAACACAATTGTTTCCCCAAACAATTGTGGCTCATGGTCGACCATAAAACAAAAACAAGCAAAAGACTAATACAAAGCGTTATCTTGATGTACTTCGCTGGCACCGTCCGTCCCCTCACCCCTCCCTATCTATTAGAATAACCCCATTATTTAAAATATAAGTTTAGCTCATATCGATGGGCTTATTCTCACCCATAAATATACCGTCAATTTCCGCCAACCACTGTACATATAGGCATTGATCTCACACTTACCGTATCTAGGTTAAGGATCAACGCCCTCCCCGTCGTCGTGAACACATCACCCGCAACTCAAGACTAATCAATGAAAGACTAAGTAAAAGCTGAGTCTTGCATCGCAGACTCACCATAATAATAATAATAATAATAATAATAATAATAATAATAATAATAACAATAACAATAACAATAACGATAATGATAATGATAATGATAATAATAATAAGAAGAAGAAGAAGAAGAAGAAGAAGAAGAAGAAGAAGAAGAAGAAGAAGAAGAAGAAGAAGAAGAAGAAGAAGAAGAAGAAGAAGAAGAAGAAGAAGAAGAAGAAGAAGAAGAAGAAGAAGAAGAAGAAGAAGAAGAACTACGGTTACTATCAATTATTTGTTATTTACTAGTGTCGTTGAAGTGTACTATCATGTAGTTATCAATGCTAGTGTTTGGACAAGTAGTAGTAGTGGCTATAAGGGGAGGTTGGAGGCCATTCTGAAAAAAAAAAGTGTTTACCTAGAGGGGAACCTCCCACAGACCTCTTGTGCGCGTGTGTTCCCCGATACTTGTCAATGTAGCAATTGTTGAAGCGACAACCGTGCCAGGGCTTAATGGCATAGTAGTTATAATTTACTGTAATAAACATGATTCATTAATGGTATTATTACAGTTACCATCATTACATTATTATTATTATAATTATTACTATTATGATTAGTCGCAGCAGTACTGGTAGTAGTGGTAGTAGTAGTAGTAATATTAGTAGTAATATTAGTAGTAGTAGTAGTAGTAATATTAGTAGTAATATTAGTAGTAGTAGTAGTAGTAGTAGTAGTAGTAGTAGTAATTAGTGTCTCCTTCCTTATCAACCGTAAGCTCAAGATTTCTTCACTATAGTAAGCACATCTCTCACCTAGACTTATTATTGTAGCTCATGGTGGTAATAATCAGACTGTAGTTATTCCGCTGGTAAGATCTGGGTTGGTCTCTCCTGGACAACAACAACTGCGATGAACCGGTTGGATATCAGTAGGTTGTGATGGATCTGAGATAAAAAACTACGCCTTAGCTTTAAAAATTCGTAGATCATAGTTAATATTTGGTAGATAACATAGGGTTCTGGGTAAACTCTCACTTAACCCAAACGTGAGATTACCAAAACCAATCACATGTGTTGAGATTTCCAGAAACACGAGTTGGTGGGATTTTGTCATTGTTTTTCTTTGCTGGATGGGTTCTCTACGGTGTAAAATTGTTTGTCAATATTTCCTCGAAGTTATACAATGAGATTTAGTGTTGACAGGATGGTAATTAGCCTGAGACTCGTCTAACTCTAAACTCTAAAAGAAGATCAGAGGAGCTGAGCTATCCACCGAGAATTTTGCGTAAACAGTTAGCACAGTAAATACTCCCAACTCTCCCTTCTCCCTCCCAGAGAAGAGTTGCCACATACCGTCGGTTATTATTATCCTCTCCAATTTCTTTCTCAAAGGTAAGATAGTATGGTGCACTGAGAAACTTGCCAACTTTGATAATTTTTACTCAATATTCATGTCTTTTTCATTTATGAGTGAAAGGAGGAAGCCTAATTTTAGATAGCATAGACACATCAGGTGTATATTTGGTTTGTATACACCCGGGAATGTGCATTTCAAGGCTGTGTCCCATAAAAGAAGTATTTCAGGAAAAGTTGTGAGCAAAGGGGTCGCGTGTAGATTAGGCACCCTAGCTTATTTCAGGAGAAGATTGAAAGTCCTAACGCTACCTGGTGGGTTAAGTGAGGTGAGATTATATTAGATTCGATTAGCGTTGGGATCCTTTAGAGAGCAAAGTATCCTTAGGGATTTTTTTTTTCACGTTCGTGAATAAATAACGGCAAGTTCCTTCATCAGCGTAAACACACAAACATGCACAGAAACACACAAACTCAGGGGATGTATACAGTCCATAGTGCTGTGTTTTCCGTGATGACTTTTATCTAATATTTATAAGAACCATTAATCTAGTATATACATAAAGCCTGTAATATCCAAATAAAAAAAAGCATGCATAACCTAGAATGCTTAACTTCAAATTATGTATATTGAATAATAATAAACTAGAATGCAAACAAGAATATAATTTACCTCATAAGCTTTGGATACTTTGAAGTGTTAACGTAGGTAGGTAGATTAACATTATTTAAAAATCAATTAAAATATATAAATAATAATAATACATAAATTAACGTAAACCAAATTAAAACAAGAATGAGTCACAAATCACACCTGGCTGTAAATAATGTAGAGAAACGCACCCTTGAAGTATATTAAAACACGTTATCTCTTATAAATCATCCTTTGAAAGTTGTTATCTTGTCTAAATTTTTACTTAGTAAACTGTGCTTAATCCCCAGGCCATTGAAACATCTGAAATAATATTCTATATACAGAAGACAATAGAAAGAAATTAACTTAATATGTTAGGGTAAACAAGATACAAAAATAGGACTCATTGTCCTTGACGCCAAAGTAATGTAAATTTATTAATAGATAACAAGAAAAAAGTAAAATAGTATCTGGGTAAAAATAACTCCATTACTATTCATAGAAAGGTATGTAAAAACACAGCGGTTTATATATACAGTCCACACCGAAATAAATGAACATTTTAAATATATGCATCTTAGTGAAAAGACCTAACCCAAATTGTGTGTTAAAAACAAACAAAAAACGAACCAAACCAAACATAACGAAACCTGACCTAACCCAACTTTACCTAACTACCTAACCTAATTCTTTACCTTCCAAAACCTAACCTAACCTAACCTAACCTTACCTTTGTCTTGGCAATTTTGTTTTGTTTCGTGAAAAACCAAACGGCTAAGAGTCAGTAAAGTACAAACACGGAATTGTATGTTGTTTTTGATACTCTAACGGAACTAGAGCAGAAAAAATACATTATAGCGATTTCGTCTCAAAATTTATATTTTCCCAGTCACAGATTTACTGTACAGTACCTGCATAGTTTAAATATACAGTATATATAATAATAATAATAATAATAATAATAATAATAATAATAATAATAATAATAATAATATTAATAATAATAATAATAATAAACTGAAATTGTCATATATATATATATATATATATATATATATATATATATATATATATATATATATATATATATATATATATATATATATATATATATATATATATATATATATACATATATATATATATATATATGACAATTTCAGTTTATTATTATTATTAATATTATTATTATTATTATTATTATTATTATTATTATTATTATTATTATTATTATTCCAACTTGGAATAATGTAGCCTGATATTCAAGCCTCTTCCACTGTAGAAGCCAAACCTTAAAACCTACAGTCTTGAATTTCCAGCAATGCATTGGTAGTTGTACAGGTTTAAAGCTGTACTGTCTTTTTTTTTAAACATTGGTCATCAATAAACTTGTGAACACAATATAAGATGTGAGAAAGTGGTGTCACTGCCCACTTTGTTATCAACTTGTAAATACCGTGATGTTCTTTAGATCGCTATTAAAATTGTAGCCTGTTTTAAGAAACTACAATAAAATACATTGATTAGTTGTCTGCGATATATTTGTTTATATTAAATGGTGTAAAACTGGTGTAAAGCTTTTACTGAAGAACCGTAGGGAGTATATTCCCTTAAGTAGGCAAATAATTATCTTTTACTACAAAATAATCAGTGTGTTGCTTCTAGAACTTATCCCTAAGTATTTAAAGTTGGATGTCAATAGCCTACTGACTATATATTAATTATTTTTACTGAATAATCTGGTGTTATCGCGCAATATCGTGTAAGGCGCTATGGGCATAATGTGTTTTTTACTTTCCGGTCACTTGGCGACGCCACTGTCGCGGGAGGACCCAAAATTTAACATTGAGTGCTCCACCTCCTATAGTCCCAGAATCCTTGGTCACACTTAACGACTGTTATAAAGTTGAATAAATGAAGTGTCAGCCATGTCGAGAACAGCGACGTGGCCGTGACAATTACAAAGGGTGGAGAACCTTGAAACCCAAGACTGATCACGTGACAAACGCTAGGTTAAAGGCGCCCCTGTGGAGTGTGTTGTGATGAAATATATCCTGGGTTCTTGCGGCTTAACTGTTACATCATGGTTCGGAGCCGACTTGTCTGTTGACATCCTATGAGTAGAAACACCCACACACACACACACACACACACACACACACACACGAGACCCTTTGTCCCGGTGATAGTCATGCCCCTGGTAAAGAGAAGACGGGTGTGCAGGAGAGCAGAGACGCTATGATCTAGGTTACTGAGAATGGGTAACTGTGTTAGTCCAAGTACGAGAAGAACTTAACAAAGTAAAATGAGATACTGAGAGGAATCAACTACAAAAGGCATCTCCACTACAAAGCTAAAATAATACAGGCTAGCATAGGTATGGTGTACGTGATTCATTGTATATATATATATATATATATATATATATATATATATATATATATATATATATATATATATATATATATATATATATGGAATCCTGCAGACATACATAATGCCATCACGTCTCTAGTTGATCTTTAACATTCGTACAGTACGTGAAGTATGATACAATTGGTGGTCACAGGAGAAGGCTCGTGACTGTAACAGCAACTGTACCTCAAAGCTTTGACGTCACGCACAAGACTGATCAAGTGACCAATCAGTGACAATAAGCATAAATTGCCAGCTTAACGATATCCCTGTGGGTAAAATTGACCTAGCATTTACTTATTGCATTTGATAAGCTTAAACGAGTTCAGTCAAAAAAGAGACGACGTGACCATAGATCTGACGCCAACATATATCCCAAGCTTATGAATACTGATGTTGCAGTCACACATAAACACGTATACACACACAAATTTATGCATACACATACACACATGAACACAGACATATGAAAACGTAACCAAGACACACACACACACACACACACACATATTTGTATCACTTATGTTACTTGTATATTATTTGTCAATCAAGTGACCCATTCTCCATTTATGCAACTGTACGAGTATATTTTCAGACATTTGACTGCCAAATTCTTTCAATAAACCGTGAATAATTATTATTATTATTATTATTATTATTATTATTATTATTATTATTATTACACACACGTGAGCGAACTATCTTAAACAAAAGTAATACATCATATTTTTAAGCTTTATGGTTCTAGTAAATAGTTTTAAGGGCATCAACAGAACAGTGTGTACGAACAATAGCCGCATTACATATAAACAGGTATACCGCATATTATGGTGCTCTAGAATAGTCTGGAGAAACAGGCAAGAGATCACCTAAGACTAGGTAGAGTTGCGGAAATGTGTTCCTACACTCCTGTGGTAACCCGTGTCTCCAAATGGCAACGTCGCAGTAGTAGTATCAGTATTTATGAATGAATGGGTATTGGTCGTGTAACGACGGGCGTGATTGGTGGATAGGTTGCTATGGGTCATATACTGTAGGAACACATTTCCGCAACTGTACCTCCTGCATTAGGGCGTTTAATCATCATGCGAAATGCCTTGGGGGTGTCTAATCTTTGGGTGATCCCAGGGAAACAAATAAACAGGTGTCTAGAGTACGAATCGCCACAAAACCCAACTTTCCGTAGTATTCTCATTATCCCTTCAAATATACATTAAACTAGACTTAGTGAATGCTGTCAGTAGATCGAAGTTGTATCTATTGATCCCATTACATCAACCCGTTTCGAGTATCTAAACTTTTTTTAAGTGTTCTGCTTGGGTCAATTACGCTAAAGTACCAATTATTTTATCCATTTATCATCCTCAATGTAAATTTTGCAAGCTGTACACTGCAATTTAAATAATGATCTCCTAAATCAGCTAACACCTTTGAACTCTGACCTTTTACCAAAATGGCAACAGGACGTTACATACTGCAAAAATATACCCAGGAAAGGATTAGGGGTGGGAGGATGAGGGTGGGCAGGGTTAGGTGGAGGATA